CCCCCCCCCCCCCCCCCCCCCTCTAGAGAAATCTTGCTGGATCCACCACTGGGCCTTTCAACAAATGATTGAATGCTACAGGTTTTAATTATTTGGATTACACAAGGTTGATGCAATATTGGTTGTGATTGGCTAAGAACTTCAGAAAATTCCCAATATCTACCCACCTAAAACGACATTGAAAATTGCTTGTTGGTGACATGATTTTTTAATGAGACCTGACAAGGTTTTCTTCCCTGCCAATATAATAACATCATAATTGATGCTTGTGATGTTACTCTGAATGTATATCCACATCGGGCAAGCTTGAAAAATATTCCTGACCACGGTGGGAATCGAACCTACGACATTTGGAAAACTAGCCCAATGTTCTGTCAACTGAGCTACGCGGTCAGATCGGTTCGAGTATGTGATATTTCATAACATAATCTAGTTCCTTCGATATCAATGTGATCTAATAATCAGTAATGATTTTTCTGTGCTGGTGTAATGTACTCAGGTGAATATGATGCTTGTGATGTTACTCGGAGTGTATATCCAGAATAATGTCCAATATAGGCATCTGATGTCTGATGGTGAAGATGGTGTATGATAGTCGAGTGTGACAGATGGTTGTCAGATGGTGTATATGATGGTGTAGGGAGGTTAAACAGGGAAGGGTTGTCAGATGGCGAATAGGAACCCTGTTGCCAAATATTGTCAGTCTAATCCACGTATTTGATTTATCCATGTTGAACTACTTTTGATTGAAAAACACTTGGGTTACATGATTTACCAGCAAATTAGCGGCAATTGATGAACATTGAACATTGAACATTGAACATTTATTTAAACACGGTAAAATCTTCAGTGTAGAATAAAATACAAAAACTATTAATAAATTTCACACATCACTATATACACACTAATTTCCTAACTAAAATGCACTGTTTTCCAAGATTGCCGTGTGGGGATCCCATTATAATGTCAAGAATTGATTAATTTCATTTTTGAAATGCCTCAATGATTTGGACGTACGTGCAGTTTGAGGAAGCACATTCCATAAACTTGCTCCACTGTAGCAGAAACTACGCTTCATAAAGTCCGTACGTGGTTTTGGTAAATTTAGCTTCATTTCTGCATTTCTTAAGTTATAATCTGTGCTGCGAAATGTAAACATGTTTTGTAAATACTCTGGAGTTAGGTTATTGATAGTTTTAAACATTAATATAGACTTCTGCTTTTTCCTACGTAAGGAAAGATTGTCCCTATACAGTTTCTCTAAGAGAATGCTAGAGCTGACATCGTAGTTGGATTTCGTAATCACTCTAGCAGCTCTATTCTGCAATTTTTGCATTTTTTCGCATAATGTTGCGCCAAATTCGTCCCAAATGGGACTACAGTAATCAAAGTGAGGTTGAATTATAGCGTTGTAAATTTGGATTGCTGTTTCAGTTGATATAAATGGTTTTATTCGCTTAAGAGCACCTATAGC